CTGACCTTAACAAATCAGGTGCATGAACAACGGCATCTACTATTGCATCACGTAACATAGCACGATCTTGTTCATGAATACTAAACTCTACAGTTCCATGATCAAATTCTCTGTCTGCCCAATTTGTGGTAATTAAATTTTTCAAGTAAATAACACCTGTAATATAAACAAGTCTCATATCATTATCCCTAGAACTACAAACTTATTTTTTTTAAATCTTCAAACTACAAACTGGGGTATATATTTACCCCAAAGGTTTTCTAGTTCTAAAAACTGTTCTGATAGCAATAATCAGACTTTTAAGTATATGAATATTTTTGTTTTCTTTCATGCCAAAGAGAATGTTGAAGAGCAAATTCTATTTTACTAAAGTTTAATCGATGAAAAATTGATTTAAATAAATTAAAGTACTAAAAAACGATGAAATCTTCATTTGATTTAAGTTTACCTGGGGTAGATATCTACCCCAGTTAGTAGTTCTAGGATTATATTTAATATATGTAATGCGTAGATTACTTATTTTATATATTAATACGTTTAACCCATTGCATTATAATAACATGGGAAATTTGTGATATGGTTTACAATTCTAACAGGATGAACATAAGAAATACCAAATATGATGGCACACACCTCCACGTATTAAATCGTAATGCAAGGGGTTGATACATGTATACATTTATCTATAATTTTAAATATATTTATTATACTTTAATAATATCGTTCATTGATATCCTTCAAAGAGATTATTTCAAATTTTAGTTTAAGGGGCACACCTAGTATGACCGTCTAAAAAAAAGGTGATTTTAGGGAAATTTTTTTTAAAGAAAACTACTGCATGAAATATATTTTAAAGTTTAGAGGATATATTTATACATAATTAACGAATATTTACAAAAATTTTCAAATGAAAAAAAGTAATTTTCAGCAAGTTATTCGTTATCTCCCAAGTCACTAAAAAAAAAAAAAGGGCCTAAACGGCTGCAGTGATTCTAGCCTTCACCGTGGATGAAATACAAAAAAAAAAAAATACTGTTAATCTAGAAGGTATTGTCTATACAATGACCTAAAATTGTGAAAAAAAAAATTGAAATTTACCAAAATGGCAGACTTTAAAAAAAAAAAATCGAATTTTGTTCAAAATTTTGATGTTTTTTGGCCCGCCAAAATTACATTTTTTATACAGTCGAAAAACTTTTAGGTCATTGTATAGAAAAACATATACGAAACAAGCAGAAAAAAATCAAAGCGATCGGATGATTATTCTTCGAGTTAAAACTGCAGTCAATTTGAAAAATACAGTTTTGAGAAAAACGCGGTTCAAAGATAAAATGATTGCTTTCTAATCCCTGTAACTCTAATTTGTAACTCTAAAACTATTAGAAATATTTATTTGAAATTTCAGTATGTTATTTTTAAAGATATACACTATGAAAATATATGCAAAAAAGAGAAAAAAAAAACAATTTTTTCAAAATTTCAGGTTATGTGTGTGCTCCTTGCTACATTTGAATAATACACAAATATAAATTGTATAAAACAACATGTATTTTTATAAACGTGTGCACATCTAAATTAGTTTTCTGCTTACCAGCTTGCCGGACAGGCATGTCAATTTCAGCTGACATAACTACTTGTAGAAGTATTGGAGCAAAACCTATAATCTTGTGAATCTGAAAATATACATTTTTATATTTTTAAATATTCATTGTATATCATAGTATTGTTAACAAAAATTCGTCTATCATAAATAAACGTATAAAAGCATATTTTATATATTTAAAAAGCCTTAGCACTGGAGGACACTCCGAAATTATTTTTATTTTAAAATAGAGATAATTTTCAGAGTTTATATTTATTTTTATAAGAAATTAATAGCTGGTAATATAAGTAAAAAAAAGAAAAACCTTTTAGTGTAAAAGGCTAATACACGTTACAAGAAAAAATTATGTAATGTTTCAGATATAATATTTGCATAGGTCAAAATCCAAAAATATAAATTCATACAAAAACTTTATTGAACTTTTAACAAACAATATACATGTGAGGTAACATAACTGTAACTATTTATACATAATATTTTTATAGTTATTAGAATAAGAAATCATAGTCAATATGTTTAGTATAGTTTGTGCATGAAAAAATAAGAATAATTTTAATCTTACATATACTGGTATTTGTAACAACATATATATATATAGAAATTTCTTCTTTAGAGGATCAAATATGTTAATCAAAAAATTGATTAAAAAAAAAGAAAAAATATCAATGGACTAGCTATATTTTACATAGTTTAATTATTTATTTAAAAAAAGAATATATTATTTAGTATATATTTGCAATAATATAAAATACATATAACATAAGGGTATAGAAAAAAGGAGAAGAAGGAGGAGAGGTGAAAAAAAGTAAGGAAATGTAAAAGAGGTTAGTTTGAAAAAAAAAAAAAAAAAGAAATTAAATGAATTGTAATTTTAATAATTAAAAAAAAAAGATTGAAACATATATTTAAATAATATTAATAATCGAAATTAATTTCGATATCTCAATTAAATTCGAGTATTGAGATGCTCGTCGTTAGGGAACAAAATTTTGCATGCCGTGTTCAATGTACCAAATCTATTGGCTGTAAGGTGTAACATTTATAAGCTTTTTACCAATATGTATGTGCACATAAGTTTTTTGTTTATCGAATATGCTCGATGATGAAATCGAAATATTCGTGGAAAACATGTGAAAGACGAAAGGAAGGGTTAAAGAAAAGAGAATTGAAAGAAGGTAAAAGATTTTTTTAAAAAAAAAGAAAAGAAAAAAAAAAGAATAAGTAAAACGAATGTAAAAGCGAAGCCACATGTTTTTCCGTCCATGAAGTATCAGAGTATCGGAGCACGTTTTTCAATATCACGTACCTGATTTAATTGATCCTCGGCTTGCTTCTGCTGAGACGGGTCAATAGTAGCACGTAATAATTCCGTTAATTTACGAGGATCCATTTTCGTAAATATTTAAATAATTGTGTCAGTTAATACGCGTTAATTTTTCCCCGTTCTTCATAAATTTGACCCGGCGCATTCACCTCTCTGCCACCTTGTCACGTGACAAAACAACATGGCGACTGAAAAGCCTTGAATTGTTGCGTTTGGTCAAGGATTGTGATATACTTAAAAGGGTTGGAGAAAGATGTAAATTGTCCAATTTTTAAATTGTCCAATTAGTTAATATAATCAATTTCAATTAAACATTTTTTAATATAATAAATATTTAATATATATTTATATATATATATCTTTATTAATTAATATATTCATTTATATCGAAATAATATATCGATTATAATCATTTGAAACATTTTTCTATTCGTTAAAGATAAAAATGAAAACGAAGCATAATAGTTTGCGCCAAATTCGAACTACTTTTTGGATCGATTTACAATATCGAATGTATTTGCGAGCCCTTGCGATACATGAAAACTCATTCGATTTTTCAACTGAATAAGAAAAACATTAAAGGGAACAAAAATTCTCATCAGTTATATATATA